ATAATTCTTTAATTTAAATAATGGATTTAGGTAATAATAGACTTTCGAGTTTCGGTAGGACTTTCGAGTTTCGAACATTTCGGTAAACCAGATCCTGTTCGAAAGTACTTTCGATTTCGGTAGGTACCGAAAGTACCCACTTTCGGAGCCATCCTTAGGTAAAACCAGTAATTCTTAATTTTCGGAGATTTCACTTTTAGAAAAAGACAATATCAGATTCTTGTAAATCGTTGCTGAAAATGAAATTTCGGAAAATTAACAATTACTGGTTTTCCCTTGTCGACACTCTAATTAAATTTCTCTTAATTTCGATTTTCTTTATAAATTTACGATTTTTATTGGCTAATCGAACAGTGGTATTTATCACAGGACAAAAATTTACGATTTTGATTAGCTAAACCAATATGTATATCCCTGAAAATTAATATTACGTACAGTAGTTCCTATGCAGTTTATTTACGCTAGCCAATCAGATGAATTTCTTCCCGGAGTAATTTAAGCGGTCGGAATGTATGATTTATCGTTATCATCTAATTTGGAAATTTTATATTAAAATTTGCATGAAAAATGTTTGTTAATCATATTTAAACATACATATTGTATACAATTTACTTAAAATGGAAAATTTTCAATATTGTTACGTACGTACGTAAGTACTTAATGAACGGCCTTTTTGTCTATAGTGCATAAGTAAGTATAATTTTGCCAAGATGTTTCATAAATAAAGTATTTACTAACATATAATAAAAAGCCTTTATTTTTTTTCCTATTTAGGTTAAATTTCGGATAATTCTCTAAAATAACAAAGTCCTTATGATTCATTTTTTCTATCAATAAATCAACGGCAAGTCCGTTAAATCTGAAACCTTAATAAATGCTGTTTATCTATTTGTTATACGTATCTTCAAGATATTATGCATGTGTAACAATTCAAAAATACTGCATACATTTACCGTTACAAAGAATATTAGATTGGCTCTTTAAGCAAAACAGGCGTAAGTCTATTATTACCTAAATCCATTATTTAAATTAAAGAATTATCTTTTAAAAGAGACTCTAATCCATTTTTTATTCAATGCAAAATTAAATTCTACGAGATTCAATTTATTCAAAATATTCAAAATATTCAAAATGAAATATTTTCGTTCTTTTTTACATTTTTTTATCACTTTTATTACTTTAACCGTCACAAAGTCATACCAATACAATTTTTCTAATCTTTCACCAGATTGCTCTACGGCTGTTCAAAATTTTTTAAGCTCATCAGAGTTAAATTCATGTTTTCCCTACAATGAACTCAGTAGTCAAATTGACTCCTTTATGAACGTTCAAGATTTATCAGGAATTGAAAACAAAATAATAAGTGTGGAAGATTCAATTTGTAAACTTCCAAAATGTTCTGACTCCTTAATTTCAAATTTCAATTCCACTTTTCATTCAAAATGCTCGACTGATATCGCTGCACAAAGTAACGATGCTTTAACAATATCCGCACTTATTTATGAATATTCGCCACTTAGGGATACACTTTGCTTTAAGAATTCTACTGGTGGATATTGTGTTATTGAAACTTTGGAAAATGTTTTAAAAGAAGGCGGAAATTATCAAAACATTTCTTCGCAAACTATATGTACAACTTGCAACAAGGCAATTGCCAATACTTGGGTGAATTATATGAAATCGCACCCTCCTCCGCCTGAACTTAGTTCTCAATTTAGTGTTGCAATTTCTTCCATAAACACTGAGTCCAACAAAACATGTGGACCTTCATTTTTAGGTATGTTGGTTTTTTTTATCAATGCTTACTATTTTTTCCGCTTAAATCTAATTTTTATTTTTAAAAAAAATCAACTTTTAGATGGAAATGTTCCTCTTGCTGCAAATAGTAATAGTAAATCTAATAATGGTGCAACCATTTTCAATATGAATTTTGCAATGTTGACCGCTTCTATCTTAATGTCATTTATATTTTATTTCTAGACAAATTTAATTATTTTTGTAATAATATTTATTAAAATCTAGCAAATTCATTAAAATACTAGATTATTGATTTTATAATTATTAAAGTATTAGAATTAGATCTATGTTATCGTTATATAAATAAAATACCCAGCTTTAAATTAGATTGTACTTTGGGCAATATTAAAAGTGAAAATGAGAAAACATACTTCACAAATTAAATATACTTTAAACTTTTAAAGCCATCTAACCTTCGGATCTGTTTAGAATTTTAAATTTTGATGTTTAACATAAGTATTCACATACTAAACTATTTCTGGTACTTATTTCTTTGAGCTTGCATTATATATGATATATACCCTTTTAATAAATTTCATCATCCGTACTTACGATTTTAACTTAATTATCTTAATTAATTTAGCTTATAGCAAAAGAATTTTCAACCACAGTAAATCCACTGAAAATAAATTATTTTGTTTTATTTTTCAGTGATTGATTTTAAGTTTTCTAAAAATTACAATAATGTACTACTAGCATAATGTTTCCAGTAATTCTAACGATTCTCATCTGAAATGACAATGGTTATAAATATTTTTTGATTTAAAGTATATAATCATATTAGTTAAGCAAATTATCGAAATGCATAGAAAACAAAATATCATTGAAAGATGCACTACCTGGATGACTTAAAGTGACTCATACATAAGAAATTGTGCCTAATATATAAAAATCAAGAATTGAATCCAAAGGTTCAGAAAAATCATTTATTATACTACCTAAACAAAATATTAACTTATATTATTATATCAGGAATATAAATTTAATCGCAGCATCAAAGAATATAAATATATAGTTTCAATAATAGAAGCTGTATGATAAGCAAGTGGAGACGGTGCGTTATCTGGTGAAATTGATGACACTGAATATTTCAATGGAGTAGTTGTGACATTAAGTACAATAAGGTCTGGTTTTATCTAATTTTTTACCACTTTGAACTATGATATTTCCATCAGATGGTGTAAATACAAAATAAATAAATCAATAATTCTCGATATTTTTAATACTATATAATTAATAACCTAGTACTGCTGCATGCGCCTTTTGTAAATCAACTTTTTTACCAACTGTAAACTAAATTTCTCGAAATTTGAATGCTAAACTTATAACACTAAACAACACGAATATGAACCTATTTGACTTTTCTATATCTCTAATTTAATTAATATGTCCAGATCCAGTATAAAACAATGATTACGTTAAAGATTTTAACAATAATTAACATTTATAAACAACATTACCTGATTAATGTCAACATCCTGGACAATAACATTAGTTATGTTATTGACTATCTCACATCCACCGATAAAAATAATAATACTACTGTATAGTTACAGTATGAGTAACT